TTACGATTTATCTCAGGATGTTAGCCAACCTTAATAGTAATGTATTTGTTGATTGTTGACGAAGCTGCAAATGCTACACGCAACAGTATTATGGACTCGATCGAGAAGAAGACTTTTAATGACAGTAGTTTTAGACATAGGGCCGCATGCGGAAAAGGAAGTGGCATTGTAGAAGATACTATTTAAACTCTTTCCCTGCTGACTGGGCAATGTTACTATCTTGAGCAGACAAACCTTGTCTAATAAAGAGTTGTTAACTTCTCTAATAGTGAATTGTTACCTTGTTTACTAGTTAGTTATAAGAATGAAATAACTTAGTCAATCTTCTTGGTTCACTAAGCTTGCCTTTGATCTTAACATGTGGCGTTATTGTTCCGTTTACATTGTGTCTTGGGGCTTTCTCAGGTGATTAAAAAGATTCTTTTGGCTTTTGGTGAGAGCCTTGGCAAGACTTGGTAAGTTACTAATTTAAGTTAGATAAACGAGATAGGAAACAATTCTCTGCTTGATAGCGATGAGTAATATGCTTTCTAGAGAATTAGCCATTCTGTAGCTGGGTGCCTTGCTTAAATAGTGTCAAGAGGGTGAAGTAGAGTAATCAGATAGTGTATAAATTTTACGCTTCCCTGAAAGGAATTCTACATTTAAAGGGTTTCTACAGATGGTTTAACATTCAAGGTGATCCTGAATACCTCTGTTTAGTACCCATCTCTGAGAAACTGCTGTCCTTACCAGTATCCTAATTAATTTAGTCACTAACCTAGGCACAGAGTATCAATTTCAGTGCTTTAATCTTAAAACATGCAAGAAACTTTAATATTTTATTTATTTATCAAATTAACATAATATAACAAATATAATATATACTGATCCTCACTCTCTGATGATATGTGATACTTATTTAACTGACTATTAGTACTATTTTAGTCAGACTAGAGGAATTTTTGCACAATTAAGCTGCTGAAAAAACCTCGTTTAAGAGATATGAGCTTATTAACTCTAGCTCGAGGCACACTTTCTCTCGTACGCTTTGTCTTCTTCCTTGGCGTGTGAGCTTTTGTCTCCTCCTACCTATCGCTTTGACCACCGCGAGGTACGCGTCGGCGATCCTTTAAAGATATATCTTATGTCATTGGGAGCAGGTCGGCTACTTAGTGGGTAGACTAGGTACCTAAAAGTTCAGGTATCTTGGGCTGTTGGCTTAAATCTTATAAGCCTTCCTCATAGGCAGTACACTCTTGGTTAAAGTAAAGTTTGCTTTTTGCCAGGTTAAACTTCTAAAGATAGGCCCTATATATAAAATTCGCGCCTGCAGGCGTTTTAGTCTTAATGGTCCCTGTTGGGTTACGATCTAAGGGTCGCGAAAGGTTGCCATCCTAAGGTGGATTAACGTTTGGATGTAAACTTATCTTAACTTGGGCCATGTCACCCTCTACTATTCGGCGGTGTCCCATGACTGATATTTCAGTATGCTCTGACTTCTTAATTTTTATTCTTGGCAAGTTATGGATAGCTTCTAATTTGAGGTTTGGACTCAGTTGGGACAATTAAACCAATGCATCGTGATTATGGGACCCCCCTGAATTAATCTTTGGGTTGAGAGCTAAACGTTACTTAGGAGAGTGGCAGGGCCGTGTAGCACGCAGTTCGAAAGAACTACTCTTAAAAAATAACAAAAACTCGTCAGTAGCTAAAATCCTTAGGCAAGTGTTACATTGCTTGTATCTTTGAATGCAAAATTCGAGGTGTTCGCAACATAATGAATCACTGACTAAACTTGGCTCATTCTTAGATGGTTTTTGTTGCTTAAAGTTAAGTAACACAAAAAAATAACAACTTTCACTTAGTTTGAAAGCTTGCGCTTTGAGTACTAGCATCACCTTTTGAAGATGTTCCTTGCAACATACCGCATTAAGATCTTGTATAACTTTTATTGAACCATTGGTGAAACACGCTAAGTTGCTAGGTTAAGATTATGTTGATGTTAGTAGTAAAGAAGAAACCACCCATAAACCCTGGCCTAGTAATAAGTGATGAAAGTTAACCACAAAGTTCGATTCCAGAACCACCTGAAAAATCACAGAAAGTTTGGCTAGTTAACGAACTTATGTGATCGGATTGCTGTCTTTGCGAATGTTTTGATCCGCCTCTTGATTGCTGCGGTTAGAAGTCTCGGTTGAAAGAGTGTTGCTAGCTACTAGTACACTATATATGTCCGGCGGGATGCCAAGGGAGGTAAAAAGTATTTGATTAAGTGTAAAGACTTTTAGGCAACAAATAAAGTATAATAATAAATTTGGTGAAAGAGCACTTGACCATCGGCGCAATTAGTTAAAAAAGAACAGTATTTATCGAATGAAAGGTACGGTGAGACGTTTACATCCGTTTTGAAAACGAGCTACAAATCTTGAACACTGAAAAATTTAATTCTTAAGTGCAGATTTTAATCTATTCTAATCTTTGAGTGAAAATTTATTAATTACCATTGAGAAAACTAAACTGGGCTGTAGGAAGACGTCCACTTTAAGTCTAAACCAGCGCTCTAGTAGTGAAATATTATATAATATCTCTATTTAAAAACATATGCAGAGCTAACTAATTATTGATCCTTACTACATTGGAGTTCAAAAGCTTACAATTTTAAAAAGCGTTGATTTAATAAGATAATTTGTAAAATAAATTAAAAAACTACTCAAGCTGTATGAGACGGTGATGATTAAAGTTAGCAGCTCTTCCCTAGTGTGCATAATTGCTAGTTTTCCTAATTCTACAATAACTAGTTATCTATTTTATCACATTGCCATGGTAATGCAACCAAAGTTATAGTCATTACTCTATAAGTAAAAAATTAATTGCTATCTGAAAAGAAAAGAGGTTTTCCGATTATATAAATGGCCTGCAAACCATTTTAACAGAGCCTCATATAGAACGGAACAACTCTGCTGACTAAAATTTTAGTTATACTAAAAAGCTTTAAAGCAAAGCTATTTCATGTTCATAGCGTTAATCCGCTATTACTAACCAGTGAATTAAGTGTATGGAATAATATTTTTTTAAAATTTGTTATTAGACAGCTTACCACCATTTAGGTTGTATTGATAAAAGTAAGAAAAAAGAAATAAATGCTTTTTAGCCAACAGAAGATAATAGCTAAACTATTTTAATAATTTGAATCGCCAAAAGGTTCTCTACTGCTACATTCTCTTACATTCACGCGAACCGTTATCTATGTATGATTGTTTAAAGGCTCAACACTATTAAGTCAGTTAAAGAGCTAGCGCGGCACCCGCCCTCAGTGATAATAATGTAATGCTTCGGAGCAAAAAGTGAGATTTATAGAAGGTGATAAAGGAAAGGTCATGTACTAGTCACAGATAAACTTAATGAGTTAAAATTAATAGTAATGAGAGTTTCATAGAACATAGCACAAAGGTTGACCATAGTAAGTGAATTAAAGCGAGGAATACACAATGTTCGGGCAAGCTGTAAAAGTAAGAAGCTTTTAGCTTAAATAACTACAACATCGAATAATAATAGCTTATTTAGTTCAAAAAATTTAAGGAAAAAATTAACATCTTAAAGAACAACTGATTAACAAGGAAAACAAAATCAGTGATAATGATAATGAAAGAAAGATGATTGGTTTTAGTCTTACAGTTGTGGCCGGGGGTCTGACATTGAAAATTTTGTTTTCTAAATTTTCTAATTAGATAGAAGTTAAAGTTTAGTATGAACCGTGTCCTAATATCTTAATAAACAACGTGTTCAAAAATTTACGGTATTTTTTGTTTATTATTTAGAATTCCAGGGGTCCGAGAGACTTACTGCGACTACTGTAGGGTTATGAAATAAAAAAATTAAAACTTTTAGCACTTTGTGCGCGCTGTAAAAGATGCGCTTTCTTCAACACAGAGCCCAGCTCAATAAGGAAAAGTAAGATAACTTTAAGTAGACTAAAATAATGAGATATTAACCCTTCAAATTAATTTTAATCAAGTATCTTTAGTAAATAATAATCCTCATCTTCCGTACTTCCTGTTTTAGCTTTTAACAACCGTGTTGTTACATTTTAGTATTAAAATTAGTTTTTTATTAAAATATATCAGTGTGGTTAATCTTTGGCTAGGGACTTGTGACAATGAGGGGCCAAAAAATGTTCACATACTATCATGTTCTTAAGAAGCGGGGGTTTTTTATAAATAAAAAAGTTCTGTGGATACTTTCTGTTTACGTCAATAATTTTACAAAATTTCCTTTTAATTGATTTTAAAGCTTCCTTTACCTTCTCCAAAAAATGTTATAACTTTCCTAAACCAAAATAAGTTGTACTGAAACAGAACAGCTAAAAAGGGGAAACTGTTTATTTAAGCACTGACTTACTATGGAGCTTTTATTATTATTATTATTATTATTATTATTATTATTATTATTATTATTATTATTATTATTATTATTATTATTATTATTATTATTATTATTATTATTATTATTATTATTATAATCTCTGGCATTCACGCCTACACGCCCATCTTAAAGGGCTTCACTCCCATCTTTAAGGGATCGGACACAAACTTATCCAGAAAAGTTAACAAAACCAATTATTACCGATTTTAATTAGCTTTCAAAGTTTTCAGTAAAACACTATATATTTTTTTAGAAAATAAAGAAAGATTTTAAAGTTTAGAAGATAAACTACCAAGGCGTTTTGATTAAAAATATAGTTTTACAAAGCTCTTGCTTGTAAAATCATAGTATTTATATTTTTTAAAATTTTATTAAATCAGATATTAAACCAGGGCGTTCAAATTTTATAGATTCAAGGCAGAGCACTTGAAGTTAAAAGAAAGTTGACTTGATTCAGAACAGGTAAATCAATATTTAAAACTTCTTTTCATTTAAACTGGGTGATAAATGAAGTGAGTGATAAATTTATTTATTATTTAAACAGGAAAAATTGCTGAATTAAAGAACAATATAATATATTATATATATTATAACATTTGTTAGTTAGTTTGCTTTAATATGACCTAAATAGAGCATACGATTGTTAATGGTAACCATGTAGACCTTTTGCGTGCATTCTGTTGACTGATAGGAAAGATCTTGTCTAAATCGAATTAGGAGCTCCTCACCACAAAGAGTAAAAAGCGCTGGTGCTAGTGATTTCGGTGTTCCACCTAACCCTAGTGTCTGTATTAAGCCTTAAAATGCCGTTGAGAAGTTTCTATAAACTCTCTAAAAATGTGGTACGCTTCTCTAGTACTACAAATAAGGTGACCGATGCGTAATATATTATAAGCCCATTATTTACAGCTCTATCCCTTTAAATTAATACGTTATTCCAGCTGATCTTTTCCTGCTTTTTCTATAGTATAAATTATGTTTGTCACTTTCAGGTAACCGTACGGGATGCTTTAAATTTAGCTTTAACAGAGGAGCTAGAAAGAGATGAAAATGTCATATTAATTGGAGAAGAAGTCGCTCAATTTCAAGGGGCTTACAAGGTATATTCTCTTTAAGATGAACTACCTTCTTCAAATACTTTTGTTGACTTCTTGTTTAAGATTACTCGTAATTTACTGGATCAGTTTGGCCCTGAGCGTATTATTGACACACCTATAACAGAAATGGGTTTTGCTGGAGTAGCAGTCGGTGCTGCCTTTAAAGGTTTGCGACCCATCTGCGAATTTATGACTTTCAACTTTGCTTTACAGGCCATCGACCACGTAGTGAATTATCATTTTTTTACGTTCCATAGAGAAACTTAAGCATTTATAAACAGATTATTAATAGCGCAGCAAAAACCTTTTATATGTCTGGAGGAAGACTTTCTTGCCCTATTGTATTTCGTGGCCCTAACGGCGCCGCAGCTGGCGTTGCTGCGCAACATTCCCAGTGTTTTGCTGCATGGTACGGTTCTGTTCCGGGTTTAAAGGTTTGCTTTCAATTTTATTATATGACTTACCGTAGCTGGGAAGATTGCCTCTAGAAACGAACGATCTTGTTATTGTACTTGGTTAACACTTTTTTTTCCTTTCTACTATGTGAACGGGCAGGTTTTATCCCCCTGGTCTGCCGAGGACTGCAAGGGCCTCTTGAAAGCCTCTGTAAGAGATCCCGATCCTGTGGTAACAGTCCTTCTCATCGCATCTACATATACTTGCTTAGCCCTATACTAACTCCACCGGAGGTGTTTTTGGAAAATGAGATATTGTACAATGAAACATTTTACGTCGGTAAGGACTTCGCCTCCAAGGACTTTGTGCTGCCCATAGGGAAAGCCAAGATTGAAAGAGAGGGTCTCTCCGTTTGTATCCCTCTTTCTGTTCTTATAAATATTTCTCACCATACTCGGCTACAGGGGTAGACGTTACTTTAGTAGCACACTCTTTAGCCGTTGGTCTCTGTCTTCAAGCCGCAGAAAAACTGGAAAAAGAAGGCGTTTCTGCTGAGGTGTTTAAGTTAACTTTTTTGGACTTTTTTATTATCTTTTGAGACCTTCATGTGCAGGTTATCAATCTCCGGTCTATCCGCCCACTGGATATAAAGACGGTTATTGGCTCTATTATGAAAACTAGCCGGCTGGTAACGGTCGAGGGCGGGTGGTCCCATTTTGGCATTGGGGCAGAGATTAGCGCGCGAATAATGGAGTCTGAAGCCTTCTATTATCTAGACGCTCCGGTCTATAGGTGCTCTGCGGCTGATGTACCAGTAGCATACGCTAAGAACCTGGAAGAGTCTTCTAGTATTCAGTTATCAAATATTGTTAAGTCTGTAAAGCGTGTACTACACCGAGACTGAAAATTTTGGGGCTCAAACTTTTAGCTTATATATATCTTCACTACCATCTACAACTCAAAATAAAAATTACATTAAAAACCGTAATAACGTTTGTTTTAGAAAGTGAGTATGTAGTTAGCATTGCGAGTGGATCATTATTACCAAAGTTAAGGCTTTTTTTATAAGTAATTTTTGGTAGTTTCACACAAAGACTTGTTTTTTTTGTAGAGTTAATAAAGGTTGTTAACCAACGCATAGTAGGAGGAGATGCAGAGAAGAAAGAGAGTGAGTAGCTTGTTAAAGTAGGGTAGAAGCTAAAGCAAAGCTCAATGTGTAGAACACCAACGACTGTCTAATAAACTGTACTAATTAAATTATCTTATAAATTTAGTAAAAAGAAAATTATGTTTATTTTTGTAAATAAGCTTTATTGTACTAATTCAGTAAATAAGTAACAGCCTCCATACACTCGACAGAAGTAATTATTCTATTAGCTATTAACAAATACGCTCAACTTATCTGTCACTAGAACACTAAATTTTCTTTATAGACCAAATAAATAACCCTTTTATCGAGGTTAAAGTTGACTCAGCAAATATGTGAACACCAGATGATGTTCATATCCTGGCAGTTGCAAGCATGGCAACTGCCGTTATGCAGGCTAAATATTCCCATTGACTGTCCTTTTACCTCCGCATTGCCAAGGTATCAAGTATTAATTATTGTGTAAATTATATAATAAAAGTTCACACAAAATTAAACTCAATATAACAAATAAAAGTAGAAGATAACTTAGTAAGAGTTAATTTTAAGTAACCACTAAATATAGCTTTCGAGGGTTTTAGCCCCACTAAGGTACGTAGGTACATACATTTTAAGTAAGCAACTAAAAATAGTTTTAGAAAAAAAAAAGAAATTAGTAAGTTATGTAGTTTGCAAAGACCGTTTCTCAGTCAATCAAGAAGTTATTTAGGTCTTACAATCCTACTCACGGATATTTTAAGCAAATTTAGCTTAAATAATAAAATTCCTAAAATTAAAAACTAAATTTTAAGTTACACGAGTTTAATTTGTAAAATCAAAAAAAAAATTACCTAAAAATATATTTATATGTTCCCATTCAGTGCAAAGACTAAGGTTATTATTCACTTATACGTAACAAAAATTTAAAATAAGTGTTCACTACTGCTAATTTTTCGTCGCACCACGCGAGTCCTTGAGATTAAACTGTTAAGAATATTTATTTGCTTACAAACAGCGTTTCTTGGTGCTCGATCGAGTTAACAACTTCGAATACACGAGCTTGCATCCACAAGTTTTTAGTTGTCCACGAGCGCTAGTAAAACTATTCAAGTTATCTTCTTTTTTTTTAGCACTGGCATATGACGGCCTTCTTCTTTAGACCTTAAGCTGTTTAACTTGATTTCCTCTCTTCTGCAGGAGTTGGGACACGAGCGCCCACCGTAGTATACGCTATTTTTAGAGAGCTATAAATGACTGTCCCGAAGGACTGAAAAAGCGGTAAATATCGGGCCCGCACAAGCCACGGCCCGTTTGTTAGAAGACGCAGCAGTTTGCTCTGTCGCACTTGAAGCGAGAACGTTATTGCCAATAAGTCGTTAGGCCAGAGCAGGAGATGCATGGGTCAATATTTGGCCGAATGCACAGCACGTAAAGTCTTCGCTTGTTGCGAAAAGAAAGTTTACTTTTGCAGCTTAAGAGCATCTGGGTCGCCGCCTCGTAATTTACGAGTGGACCCCATGATGACAGCTTAAAATCTATAATAAACCCCACCTGAAAACATCACGGGACTGCCTTGCCATTAAAAAAAAAATTACGGAGAGTCGGCAGCGCATGGTATTTCTTCGTGTTAAGAAGAGCCATGCTTTCGCTGAGTTAATGGAGAGGCCTTTTTAGACGACACCAACTAGCAAGCGCGTCGAGATAATATTGTAAGTGCTGACATAGTAAAACGGGTGACTTTGACGAAGAATAGATCATCGTATCGTCGGCGTAATTGGCGGCTTGCGTTGAGAATGGACTGGAAGAAGAACGCCGCTCGTATAGAGCGCGAATAACAGCGGTAATAGAAGAGAGCTTTGCAGGGCTCTCGTTGCAAGATAGCAGGGCGACGGCAGTGCAGCGCCTACTCGCACGTTGAAAACCCTCTGGTTAGGTACGACTTGAGTACCTTTTGAAGGCCGCGCGCTATCGCCAAAGCGTGTAGCTTGCATAACAGGAACACCATGCCATACCCGGTCAAAAGCCTTCTCAGCATCGAGAAAGACAGCGCCGATGGCTTTTTTTAAATCAAAGGCTCTGGTCGTCCACTCGGTTAAGCGAAGAATATGTTGGGTCGTTGAGTATCCCTTGTAAAATCCAACCCTGAAATTCTGGGGGAATTCCACTAGCGTCCACTTCCGCTTTCAAACAATTAAGTATCGCTGCTTCAGCTATTTTACAAATTGCCGACAAAAGGCTAATGGGCCGATAGTTGTGAAGCGCTGACGCCAATTGCGACGTCTTTGGTAACATCACAACCACCGCCCTTTCCCCACGCCCTGGGAAATAGTCGAAGGTCAAACACCGAGTTGACGAGGCTGCATAGATGATCTATAGCAGCCTCTGGTAGCTGTTTTGACATCAGGTTAGTGATGCCGTCATGGCCGGGTGCCTTTCGCTTCAATAGTAATTTGATGATTAATTTTATCTCATCTGTGGTAGAAAGCTCCAGAAAAACAGTGGGGGTATCAAACGAGGTAATATTAGGCACGAGAGGAGCGTTGTCGACATTTGAGAGGGTAGACGGCGAACACTGGGCAGCTAGATGATCAGCAAAAAGAGGTTCGCTTTATTTTTATCGCTTTCAGCTACGATATCACCGTTACGAAGTGGTGGCCGAGTCGAATGTCCGCGATTTCTAACTCGCACGCCTAATTTCCAAAAAGAGGCGCGACCGATGACATCGGCTTCCGATACTTCCATTAATTTGCTATCTCATTGGCAGTTTACGTGCCCCATGAGCTTTTCCTTGATGTTCCGGTGAAGGCGGTTTCGCACGATACTGTCTTCTGCGCGTTGGAAAGTCATGACTACTTGGATGAGTCGCCGACGCTCGCATATTGATGCCTTTAGCCCCTCAGAAAGGCGTTTAGAGCGGTTACACAACTGCACGTGTCGTCGTTACTTTGCTGTGGGCTTTCTGTCATCGCCCATTCAAATTCGACAACGCGGTGTTTAGTTTAGCCAGGAGTTTCGAGTGGTGTCGTAAACGGTAGGGGCGTCTTCCCGAGCACTTCGCTTCGGAGAAAGTGTTCCAATTCGTGTAAGATCGGGCGTATGTCCTTATTGCCTCCTTTTCGTCACCCAATCGGGCAGGACAGGCCATGGATCCGACGACAATTCATTGAGCGCCTCAGTAGCTGTAAAAGGTATATATCTTTTAACGCGGCGATATCCAACACATCCATTGTGTCCGTCTTCCTCGCCATGTGTGTGTTGGCAACTGTGATCTTAGGATTCTCAATCCGCGTTCCTCAGCGCAAGCCTAAGGACGTAGTCGTTCAGATTTGCAACCCGATTGTTCCACGCAGAATGTTTACAGTTAAAGTCTCCGCATAGAATGGCCGGAAAGTCATGCACTAGAAGAGCATCAAGACCGAACAACGTGAGTGGTTGACTGGGTGGTTTATAGAACGACATTAAGGTTATGGGGGGGGGGGCCCTGTCTAACCAGGTTAAGGGTAATACCAACAGCCTCGATCCCTTGCAGAGCTGGTACTGCTTTTAAATTGTGTTGGATGCTTCCTTTGATCAGTAGAGATACTCCTCCACTACTGTTGTACAACCGATCCCGGCTATACGTCGCAAAGTTACAGATGTTAAAAGGTACAATAGGAGAGAGCTGTGTTTCGCTGGCAGCACAGATACCTATTCTTTCACATTGCATTAACTACTGCAACTCCTTTTTTTTTCTTCTGGACGCCCTCTGCGTTTCAAGACAGTAATCGGATACGAATAAGTGTTTAGATTCTAAAAGCCATTGCGAACAAATCCTATCTTGCACGGCCTCGGGCATGGTCAAGTGTTTCGTCGTGAAAATAGCTAACAGCCGACTAAGAGTCGGTTGCGATAGCTGTTCTTGTTGTCGAGTGCCTGAGTTAACGTTATCAATGTTAGCAAGATTATTCGCAACGGGTGCTTGGTTTGGTCTCGGTCACATGCGGAAAGCATAGGATAGTTGTAGTGATGGTAGTATCCGGATTGGAGGTCGCTGTCGCGTAAACTGGTCGACCGTTAAAGGCCTCCGCGGAGAACGTTTGCAGGGCGGATGGTTGGCGATATGTGTCTCACCCAATTCGTACATCTAGCAGGCGAGTCTCGTTTTCTGGTACACTCTATAGGATTTAGAAAACATTAGAAAAATATGAACAATAAAAAATATATTTTTGAAAGGGAGAGATAATTAGAATAACCGATGCGGTTGTTGTTGAACCTTTTAAGTTTAATATATCATTAAATAATCTTAAATTTCTAGATTAATCTATATATACCTGTTTATTGGATTTTTATTAAATATATATTTTTTATAACATTTTTTAAACTTTCTTTTGTTAAAACCTTGTACACGCAGCCAAATGACGTTTTGAGACACCGTAGAGCAAAAGCTTGCAGCGTGGCCAAAGACCTGGAGCAGTGGCTCTGGCCATCGCGATTGCTTTTTCGAAGTTCTTCTACTTTGAATTGAAGATGAGTCTTCATCTCTAATATCTTTTGTCGTTCCATTCCAGTTTTATGCACCCCACAATTGTTAAAGACGCTTCTTCCGCTCACCATTGACAGTATCCTCCGTGTTCATTCGTGCCACTCGGAGGAATGTGGTGCCTTGTACGCGCAGATGCGCCTCGAGGGGGGGAGTGAAGTGTTGAGTTAACACGGATAACAAATTTGAATGGCTTGACTTTCAGGTAATTGATAGGTAAAATGTTGTAATTCTTGATTGGGTCTTATCGCTGTAGTCACGAGGTATTCTTCAACTGTTGTCGGAAAAATTTTAATCCCAACACGCGTATTTTTGACCTCGGGATTGTTGCGCCGTTAGATTGTAAGAGTTGTACAAACAAGGGCCACTTTTGTATTTCACAGAGGATAATAGGAGGAATATTCTCCTTACGAGTTCGCAGGGGGATACCGCAGCAGTTGGTCATTAATACTAGGGGCAGTGCCACACGCGCTGCCCATCTCTAGTCAGCAGTGTTTGTAAAGCTCTTGAGGGCTTCCCTGTGTTTCTGATAACTTTCAAGTTGTCGTTACCTTTCCTAGAGCTATCATTACTTTTATTATAAGGATTAAACTTATTACTATTGTACTACAACTAATATTTTTATTTTTATTACTGCATATATTAATTTTGCTTTTACTGTTGTTGCTAACAGTTATATTATTAATACCGCTCTCATGGGAACTATTGGCCATAAGGTTATTACTATTACTATTATTATTCTTTAGGCTAGCTATTTCACCTGATTAGACTAATTTTCGTAACCTTTAGAATCTCACTATTTTCTAGTCCACTTCAGAAGCATCTGGCCTTTGAGCTTTAAAATTAGCTCAGCAACCAGGCTGTTTCCAAGCTTAGGTTGCTTCAATCTTTAATTTAACCATACTTCAAACTAGACTCTGCTACCATCAAGTTTGCTAACATCATAGCAACGATTCTTGCTCGTTAACTAATTAAGTAGTATCTATAATCATTAAGTTTGTTATGTTACTTCATTCAAAGGGAGATAAAAATGAATCTGTTAATGCTCGCAAAGGACTGTAAGAGATACTTTAAACTAGTATTCGCTCACGTGATTAAGATACGATATCCAATAATTAGTCGTTGCTACCTCGAACAATACATGAAAATTAACTCAAAAATAAGGAACCAACGACATGACCCAAGCAAAGTTAAGTTTCTCCGGAACGCGTTTTTTCATAGGATCTATATTTTTAGCCGCTGAAGTACACTCTTTAGTAAAGCGAGGACTGCTTTTTGCTCTAGGCTACTAGAGTATGTCTTTCGGTCGCCCTTAACTGCTGAAAAAAGTAACGAGTAATGATAAATTACACTATGCCTCGCTGTTGCTCTAGTGGCCGACCTCTGTAGTATTTTAACTATTTAAGCAAACAACAAGAAGAACAAAGAAAGGTTTCCATCTTATTAAGTCCTCGTCCCCAATTCCGGTTAGCTAGACCGCTTCAGACCTAGCAGAAAGCACGTGCCTGGCCGCTAAACTTGTTTCAAAGCAACAAAGTAAAAATGATAAAAATATTGTAAGATGAAAAGAAGAACCAAGAAACTAACACTGATGCAGCTCAACCGTTAGCCTAAAAAAAGACAGTACTGTTTTAATTTTCGATCTCTCGAAGTGTGGTTCTGTACAATAAATAGAATTCTTTAGTAGAACCAAATAACGCACGAATAATCTAAAAATGCAAACTTAAAAGCTAAGTAACATTATCATTCGCTCGTAACGTTATCTTGGTAACTTCTTATTAAATTGCACGGACATAGGTAGGGTTCAAAGCTTTTTGGCATGGATGAATGTTAGCAGATTCTTTTAAAATAATTATTACAAGCAATTTTCTGAACTAGTTTGAAAGCCTTCCCTCCAACATTTGATGAGTAACAACAATAAAAGAGCAATTTTTCCCTACAGCAATTAGCATTATTTAACACTAACCCATCTAATTGAAGTCACTGGATATACATCAAGCTCTCCTCAATAAACCAATCACCCGTTCTACTCTATTAGCACTAGATTACTCCAAGGCGTAGCAGAGTCTAGAGTCTAAGTAAGGTTATTAAATTATTATATAAACCCTAGTTATAGTACACTCGTTTAGCACGCTTAAACAACATATCACACGAGGCTTTCTAGTCTCATATAGGAATAGACTGATAAATAGATAGTAGTTACTAGTTTAACATATGATAACTAGTGTCTACTAACTGAACTACTTTACTAAAGTCAGTCCAATGTTGAAATCATTTCACTCGAACAACTAATTAACAGACAAATGTTTTAGGTTAAATATAACAGCATTACCCAAGTCTTCAGGTAGGTTTTTAACTTTTTCTAACTATATCAACAGGAGGTCAAGTTCCACCCAGTTAAAAGCCATACCCTCAACATCAGGTTGCATAATCTATTCTCTTTCACAGCTACTTAACAGTAGGTTTCCATACCCTAGTTCTCTTTGAGTAGCTTAACCTCAATAAAGGTTTACCAAATATCAGCATGAATTCCAATCTTACTGATTCATTCTTTCGAAGCCGTTAGCTGTGGACGTTTCTTACATCAATACTAAGTCCCTCTCAATGATTTATACATGAGTTTTTTTTAGAGCAGTTAGTCAGTAGTTAGCAACTAGGCAGCTGGCAAGGGTGTGAACTGTTAAGATCGAGAGAACAGGGTGGTTAATTCACCTAAGGCTTTATAACTAAGATTATTACTGGTTAAAAAGATCATTACTAGTTTCTACTCTCCTAGTTTAGGAATAGGTGTTTGATCCGCCTAACATGTAAATAAAAAGCAATGACTAAGAAGAAAGTTCTATTTTAGTAGAACCAAATAACGAACTAGCACTCTATAGCTATGGCTCATTAAAATGCTCTACTAAAGTAAAACGAAGTTATCTTACCTTGTTGCTAGCGCATGTACCGGCGCTTTCCATCTTTCTATATTTTTAACATCAACGGTTCTCCTGCTTGCACTAGCGACTTATTTGGGTTTTTTGATCACCGTAATGTAGGCGTCAGCCGTCATTTAAAAACATTACAGAAAGGCAACGGTGCAGGTTGGGCTATTAATGGTAGCGCTACGCAGCTTAAGTTGCAGTTGACTGTTAGCTATATTTTGCAACTTCCATCCCTTGTTTTACATTCTTTGAGTGAGGATTGCTTTTTGTCCAAAATAGGCTGTCATCGTTTAAAAGTGGTTTAAATAGATAGGTCCTATATTGTAATAAGATGCTCAGGCTCGGTGTTAGTTCTTGCGGCTATCCGTGGGTTTCGACCTAAGGTAGCTAATTGGTTTCCATTCCAAGGTGGAATGGCGTACAAATGCAGCTTTACCTTCATCGGGTCTTGCCACCCTCTACGAATTCAGTAAACTCTCTGACATGCAAAAGTTACGGCTAATATCCGAATAGATGCTTGTACTCACTTCAGACAAACAAGCCGATATAGTGTGATTGTAGAACCTTCCTGGATGAAGCTCTAAATTCAAGGCTGTGCGTTACTTCAGTGAGCTTAAATCATGACTGGTCGTATCGAAAGATATGCCCTTAAAAATGGTAAAAACCTATGACTGTCTTTGGCTCTTATACAAGTGTTAGCTTCCTGTATTTCATGGTGAAATAATATGGCCCGTAACATGTTTTGGACCGGCTCCTTCCTGTTCATTAACGAGACCTGTTCCGCTCTTCGGCTGCCTTTTGTGGTGTTTGAAGGATTAAATTAAAAGGCTAAATAACTTTGACCCCCCTTAGAATTGCGTGTAGTATACTGGCATCGCCTGTAGAAGTTATCTCTTCTCAGAGGTAGTCAAGCAGGGCCTTTGTAGCCTTTGGTGAACGATAGAAAATATTGGCTAAGTACTATGCCTTACGGTGCTCTTAGGTGCAAGTATCAAAGTAAAAAGAAGAGAGATGTCTGCGACGTAGCATGAGTGATGACAAATAACATAATGCCTGCCTCGTTCCTGGGCTCCTGAAGCAGTTCGGAAGGAGACCCAAAAACAGGTCGCATTGTTACCAGTGAAACATCCTGAAATAATCAGTGCCCCTTCACCGCCATCGTTACCTAAACTTACTCGTAGCCATCGTTATAGTAAAGCCAACTTCGAAATTAGCGATTATATTCTTGTACGTAACGGAAACAAGAAAAGGCACCTATATTATGGTAATGCTTTACAGCGCGAGGGTAGGGTAAAGATTACACTTTTGACCTATAAAAAGAAAATAACGTTTAAACCAGAACTACTTTATAGGAAGGAGGACTGAAACCGAACAGGTTTTCTGCGAGTCTCGTGTCCTATGTAACCTCTAAATCTATTAGTAAACCTTGTACTAACTTTATTCAAGCAGAAAAGCCTCGCATAATTCGAGGGCTTACTGTATATATTATTTGTATAGATGCTAAAGATTACCATAAAATAAGCCTATAAATATATGAGCGTGTCTTTAAAAGATTAAAAAAAGTTTAAGGGTTCGCCTTAAAGAGTCTAGTAAGAGTTCCTGCAAGTTTTTATTTAGCCAAGCAAAATGTAACGAATATACAAGTATTAGATTCATCATAGAAGTTGTTAAAAATTAGTAAATCATCTTGAGCGAACGAGTGTAATATTTACTTCGTAGCGTCTAAATAAACAAGCAAACTGTTCACGAGATCCTCTATTGAGGGGGTAAACCCAAGAAACTTTGAAGCAATAAGCATGGGGTCACGACCGCACGTGTTTAAAAATTCCTCACGAAATCTGTGACCTGTAAAAAGTAACCCATCACAATTGTTTAAGACGCAAGAAAAAAAACAAAAAAAAAACACTATTCAACCGTAAGAAGAACCTGCTACCCGGTCGAGGGGGCCGGTCTTAAAAAACTTATTCCAAAGAAGACTGGAGTAAGCACCGCACCAAAGATAGGAATAATATCCCGCGCCGTACCTTTAACGAATTTCTTTTTTATAAATAGACCTTAATCTTTGCCACACGGCCGTATTACCCTGCTAAGTGGGAACAAGAAAGAGACCACGTTCCCTTCATATGAGGAAGGCATCCGTATTTTTCTTGTATATCGTCCACCACTTCTATAGGATCATCGTACTCTAAGGGTCCGTGGAGATGCTGGTCAATCATGCTGTAGAGAACTTGCATAAGGGCGTCTTTATTAATATTAGCTTTAATAAAGTTTAGAAAAGGCCGCGTATAATAATACCGTTATAAGAAAACAAGTGCTTCTTGCGCCGCAGTGTCTGAAAAAGAGATTCGGGAAGAACCTATGAGAAGTGAGGTCCACCAGACTCGGTTAATGTGGCATGTCTAACTTCTTTAGTTTTGTAGTGACGAGCAAACTGAGACACGACACGGTAGTCGTCACAGAATTGTTCCATGAGGATGGAAGGGATCTCCACAAAGTCCACGGTACAGCGAGCCCCTACGTTGATATCCTAAAAAACAACAAATATGAAAAAATAAAAATTATATACCAGAAATATGCTGGTAATCGGCCCGGCCAAAAAGGGCTTGAACCCAAGCAGTCATAAATTATTAATGCACAACAGATATGCGGTCGCCAGAAAAACTAGTTTTACTGTGTAGGCAGTGTCCAAACTCGTGAAAAAGAACTTCAACATCTGAGAGGGTCAGCAGGACGGGCGTAGATGATTCGACTGCGGGAAGCGAAAAGGAGCAGGAAAGTACAACGATTGGTTGCTGGTACTTTCCGGGCCTTGATAGGCGGAAGAAGTAATCTTTATAAGAAGCAAAAGCTCAAGCGGTACCAAAGAAGCTTCCCGGGGCGAATGGTGTGTTGTGACGCTTGACGGGCTTTATATGGCCGGGAAAAAAAGTCGAGGTAAATAAAGCCGAGAAGACCCTTTTGATTAATATCAGACTACATGGGCACCGTAAGATGGGTTAAAACACCTCGTGCTCATGGACCACTTGCAGCTTATACACGCGCGTCGCCCATATTTCGCTGGGACTAGTGGGCATGAAATGCAGTTGAACGCCAAAAAGCTTTTCAGTGAGCAGCCCTGCAAGTTGAATCGGTAAGGGAGAGTATGTAAGCCAGCCAAACATTGCAAGGGAAAAGACCCAAGCCTTCCATGACACACCCGAGAGAAAAATAGGCGGAAGCGCCTGAAGTCGGAAATTCGTTCTTAAGTTTTTCTAAAAAAAAAAAAAGGTGAAGACGAGGAGAACTCTTAAAAGAAGGAAACCTAAATAATATAGTCGATCCCAAGGCTGTATGTTCTCAGAAGACTTTTCTTCGCGCAGCTGTAGAAAAATGGCGGTAAGTGGAAAGAAAAAGGGGCAAAAAAGAACTTTTAGTTTTCTCAACAACTCCAGCTCCGCCTCACTCCCTTCTTTCAAACGCAAAGCTAACATGTGCAGGAAAGACCAAACTGTTTCTAAACGGTGATAAATGTGATCACTTCAATCGCGACCGTGACCAGGAGAAAATCCTAATCTCCGTTACAAAAAACGGACGCCCTCAAGAAATATCATCGCAACAGCAAGCTATAAAACTATATATATAAAAGAGCAAGCTCCATTTGTAACTTAATAACTTCTATCAAAGGAAATGTATTTGCTATAAAAATGCAGACGCTCTTAAGTTCGTGGTGTTCCTATACATAGCAAAACTGTAACCTGGAAATTTAGCCATATTCCTTCTTAAAGCTTTCTGACCGTAACTCTCATAACCGCAAATCCGGGAAAGTTCCAAGCGAGCCTTAAAAAGAGTTTTTAGGGTTTTTTTTTTCTGTAAGTTTTACTATAAGTAACGGAGACGGGACACACTAAGTAAGTTATAACGATGGTAGGGACAGTGTAAACAGAATGGTATAACATTCGCCTAATCGAGTGATCGGGCGAAGTAAGAAAAAGATGTTCAGCAGTTTCCAAAGCTGACATAATAGGGGTTTTCTAAAAAAATAGGAAGTTGACAATTAAACTTCTCTAAATTTATAAAAAAAAGGTACTTTATCCTTATTATATACAAAATTTCTATTAAACCAAGAAGGAAAGTTTTGCGACTCTAAAAAAAACATTATTTAGGCTCATATTTAAAATTGATAAGCAAACCTCGCTCTAAGTTAAGTACACAATCTGTGATCAAAGAGGTCAAAGACATAAACTGTGCTCTTTGTTTGGAGGTACCCTTTAAAAACAATTTTATTAGTAGTAAAAAAAAAAGAAATTTGAAAATACAAGAATGGAACTGTCTTCAAAATCTAAAAGCAATTGCTCAGCTGTACTCCGGGCTTGATCGGGAAACGAAGAAAATTCGGGACTGGCGACCGTTTCTTTTAATATACAATAAAGTTTTACATCCGTGTTGAGTCGTTCAATGAAGGCACTAATTTTGCAGTAGATGCGTTCACAAGTCTGTTTCGTTTATAAAGTAATTAAGTTTTACTATAAGTACAGAGCAATTAATAAAATTCCTAATACGTTATTTAAAAATATTAAATTTTAATATGAATCCAAACAATAAACAAAGACCGACTACTGTTTACTTTAATAAACAACCAATTAAAATATTTTTAGTATGTCTCGTTAAATAAAAGTGAGAGATGGGTTACTATATTAATATAGATTAAATTTTTAAACAAATCTATGAGTGAAATTACAAGTGAAACATCCCCAAAAAAGAAATAATTGCCCGCAATAAATACCTCTGAGAAATTAAGATCGCTATGGTTACATCTTAAAAACGAACATAAATCAGCGATTAAGCAAATGGCGTTAGAAATATCATCAAAGTTATTAACTATATGTAAACCTAAAATATAAATCAAGATGAAGACCACGAAATCCTAAATAAAGTAAAAGTAGAAAACCTTTTTTTTCATTATTTACATTATTAATAAAGTCTTGAACAATGTTTAACGCATTAACAGAAGCAGCTTCAATATTTTCGGGAGAAATTATAGATTTGTAGCCAAAAAGCCCAACAGAACTCTTTTCAAGAAAAACATGTCCTTTCAACAATGCGTTAAAGGTACTTATATCGCTTGCGCCTTTACATTTTTGGTTTTTTTCGTGGACATCAAATAGTTTTATAAAATTTAGAAGCTGGGTTTCAAAACTTTCACCAAAACTTTTAGAAGAGGACTTTTGCTGACAATAGAAATTATTAACATAATAAGGTATATGTTTATTTATATTTCTCCAAACATAAAAAATACTTTTTCTGATTTTAAGAAAAGGGAAATGATAAAAATTCATATTTCTAATATAATCCGCATATTAAAGGTCACACACAAATTACAGGCTAGCCGCGACTAACGCCAAAGTAGGAGATTGCGAACTAAAATTTTAGGACCTCGTTAAACTAGAGTTAACTAGGTTCCACGTGAGAAAAAGTTTGTAAAAATAATGTGAAAGAAGCATAAGAAAACATCTTTTTACAGCGCTGTAAACAAATATACTTTTTAAATTTTATTCGACTTATCTCCTCTCCGGAAAGTAGACGTTCACCCTGAGATAACAGGAAATCATTTATTTAGGTATCGAGTTTCAACTGTTTTTGGCTGCAACTGTTTTGCACGCCGTTTGGAGTCAACCCAACCACCACGTCATCATGAAGCACGAAATTAAATGAGTTTGACCGGTTAGATAAGTAAATATATTAAAACGGGATATAAAGTCGTCGTCATAGTTAGCTGTTGAAAGAATTTATTCGCAAACTCAAAGTGGTGGGTTCGATTTCCACCAACACGACTCTCTTTAATTTTTATTGTTCTGTTAGAGTAAGTGCTCCCTAACAATTAGCACGTGACTTATCAGTCCCGCGCAAAATCAATGTCGCCCATTGGTGCTGCTCACGCTTTCTGGCTGTTAAAGCAAATGTTAGTACAGTCTCTGCCCTTACATCTTGAGCGAGCTCTTCATAGTGCGGTAAGAAGTTGAACAGATTGAACGCAAGTCTACTTCATAACCCTTAAGAAGCGTATGCTCCATTATGGTCATTTTAAACAAATAACTAAAAATGTTACTAACATATATTATATGTATTATTAATCTTTCATCCAGTAATTTTTCTTGTTTCAATAAAACTTAATTTTAACAATAATTTAAAAAACGTTTACATATTGGTTTGTCTGTTCTGAATAAAGCCAGCTTTCTTTTAACTTCAAGTGCTCTACCTTGAATTTATAAAATTAGAAAGTCCTGGTTTAATATCTTATTTGAAAAACCTTTAACCATATAAATACTTTGATTCTACAAGCGACCCTTTTTAAAATCCTTAGTGTAACGCTTTTTTTATAGTCTAAAATGCTCGCTCGACGAGACCTTTAGCTTGATGACAGCGGTTTGTTATAAAGCCTACTCAAGTTTTGCAATCGTCTGAATTAAGAAAAATCTGGCTTTGGCCCTTTTTGATTACAGAGAACAGACAAAAAATTCTAATAAAACATTACAAACACAACCACAAATAAAATAAATTCTGTTTATTGATGTACAACGTGTACTAGACTATAACTCTTCTTTGATTGGTGGCGTGGTGGATTTGGTGTCATTAGGAGTATGACCCCCGCCTTCTCCTCCTCGACTAACTGGGGCAGCGGCTTCAGGCACAGGCGTCTCCACAGGAGTCGTTGGGCTTGCATTGGGGGTGGTGGTGTTAGCGAAGACGGCCGGCGGTTTATAGGTGCTGAGTTCCTGCAAAAGCAAACGAAGTTTAGCAGCCCGTTCCGCAACATTCCGCGATAGTAGTGGCGGAAAAGAGGCCAATGGGGTGTTTTCTTGTTCGGCTAATTTTGCCTCCAACCAAGCTTTGACGTCTGTTAACTCTTTCACAGCAGAAACGCGTATATCTTCAGGAATAAATGGCTTATCGTTCTTCAGTAATAATAAAGGACAAGCGGTAAAAAAAAGAGGATAACTGTACAAAAAAATTGACTAACGATGGAAAAAGATTCAGTCTTCGAAATAAGATTTTTAAGCTTCTCCACTTCTATAGGTCTATTCTGAAATTCTAAATTTTAAAAAAAATTATAAATAAAGTTAACTAAAGAAAAAAAAAGTAGACCGTACCACGTGCTCTGAAATGTACAGGCTTCATTAGATCTTCCAATAGTTTACGTTTATTAGTATAAACGGTATGAGTAACTTCTTCATCTAAAATAAACAATCCTCAATAATATAACTATATATAGAAAAAGAAAGAGGAAGGATACACGAGTCCTCTAACCAAGTTCGGATTTCAACGGCTTCCTTTCTTAGCGCCTTTCTTTCCTCGGAAGTAGTCACCTTCACAACATCTTCAGACTCCAACTTTTCCAACATGTCGTATACACAACTTTCAAGCTCGTTTTTTTCCTTAAAAGTAGTTAATACTTTCTTAATAATAAATAAGTAAATTAGAAACCTCAGCAGTTAAAAGGCGCTCCTCTTCTTTCTTTGAAAGCATAATCAACCTTGAAAAAAAAAAGTGAAATACAGCTTATCACTATTTGTTGGTACAACAAAATCACTACAAAAACATGTGGAGAGGAAAAGAAACAAAATAAGTCTTGGGCGGGCATCTTTAATAATCCGGCGCAAATAACATTAGAAGCGACAACTACAAACCTCTCCCGCAAAGACTGCACGCGCTCCTCCGACGGCCGGAGAGGTTCGGAAACATGGTGAACCACTTTAAGCTCGACATGGAGGGAATCTTAAATAATAATATCATTAACTTGTGCAGGAACCAATAATAAAAAACTTACTATCTTTTTGTTTCTGCATTTTTTTATTCTTACTGTTGCTTGTAGCGTTTTTTTTTTTTCCTTCTTTAAATAAACCCAAAAAATATAAGCAAAAAAAATAAAATAAATAGTAAAAACGAATAAAAACGAGCCATTCTCTTCTTTCGAAATATTATTAGCATCCTGAGAAGTTACATTATCAATAGTTTTAAGTTCTTCCTTAGAAGTGCGGCCCCCGAAGGCATTACCTGCAGAACAATAATAATGATGACGATGATAATAATAATGACATACTCAGCCAACTTCCGGACAACTTCTCTTGTTTCAAAGTGAAAGTGGCTGTTGCATTATGACAGAAGAGCAAACCACTATGATCTATGACAAAGTCCAGCTGGCCAACAAAAAAAAAATTTAGCAATAATAAATAAATATAACAACAGCAAACTTTTATATTGGAAAACTGTTTATCTTTATGATCTTCTATTGCTTTTGGTACGCCCAAGATATTGACGCTACTGATGTTTCCGTCTCCAAAAAATCGGAGATTGCTATTCAAAATTAATAAAAAGCCAATAAATATTAAAAAATTTACAAACTTAATTGCCGATTCGTCAAAATTTTTAGTGCCATAAAAGAGATCAACTGTAAAATCATGACGAAATTTAGTGAACTTTTGACTCTGAAAAAAAGTTATGAAAAAAAAAAATAGTAATAAAAAACATATGAAAACTTTCTCACTGGGCACTTTGCTGTCTTTGGAAAAGAGGGTTTTTATAATATAAGATTTCTCAAAAGTAGCGAAGGGCTCGCCCTCCACAATATTTTCAAATCTGTCTCAAAAATTAAAACAAAAACGAAATGAATTACTCGAGTAAAAGAGCAACCTTGAATCTACGTCATAAAAAAGTTTTTCTTCCACGTGACAGAGAACCCGGAAGGCTGACGAGCGCGAGGCAGCGATGAATACAGCACCTGAAAGGAAAAGATGTGAAGAGAGGGAATATAAAATCGTCCCATAGTTATTATTTTGAAAGACAGTTTACAAAAAATAGCCTGTATAGCTACCAGCAATACACAAGAGCACCATTATTGCAAAGGGTGCCATAGATGCAATTCATACACGCTTACCCAAAACTGCTGCTTCATCTGCATTGATATTACGGCTGAGATGTTTCCCGAGCAATGCCCTCGAGATGGTCTCCTGGACGGCAGGCATACGCTGAGCACCCCCAACCATGACGACCTGATCGACGTCCTCCTGCCATGCAACTGGTTTCAACAACAAAAGTAATATCCAACAAAAAAATTAAAACAATTTTCATTTGCGCAGATTTGAAGGCATTTTGAACGGCAACTTGAACTCGTTCTTCTTGCTTGCTTAGTAAAAGGGAGAGGTCAGAACGTCGAACTAGTGTGGAAAAGTCAACACCTGGAAGGACCTATAATAATGTAAAAGTAATAGTATTATGAATAATAAACATAATAATGGTGAGGATACCCCTTCCACAGAAACTCTTGTTTCATTGTTGGCACTCAAAATTTCCTTAGCTTTTTGTGCAGCTAAAAACAATTTCATTAGAGTCCGTGGCGTGATTGTAGCGTTTTGAGCTGGGTAATTATGAGAATAAAAAAATGAATAATAATAAACGATAAACATAACATACATTTCTGCTGATTATTCAAAGTTCCCACTAAAAAGTCCTTAAGCAAGACGTCCACTGTAGAGCCTCCAAAGTGCCTATCAAAGCCGAAGCCCTTTATCTTCACGACGGGATGCTTTACATTTCCAAAGCCGCCTTTGTTTTTACCCAATTCATACTTGACCTTTACACAAACCAAAAAAATATATACATGTGAAACTTTTTTATATACGAGCACAAAAAAAATAAGCACGATAGAGATGGAAGTAGAGCCGGAGCCCATATCGTAGAACATGATATTCTGAGACTTCTTTTCGAAGTGCTGCTGATTGAACAGACCATAATACACAGCAACAGCAGTCATGCCGTTAACAAGTTGTAGAACTTCAATGTCAGCAAGCCGAGCAGCGCTTATAATAATAATAATAATAATAATAATAATAATAATAATAATAATAATAATAATAATAATAATAATAATAATAATATACAGCATCATAGATCTTCTCTCGCTTTGGCCAAAAAATGAAGGGATACAAATAGCAGCGGCACGAATATTCTCCCTGAGAAAAATTAAAATGAAAATAAACAAAAAGTTGTAATTATTAAGTGATCCAAACTCCCCCCCTCCCCCAATATTACTATTAGTTAATTTAAATTGTAAACTTTATATTATTGCTTTAAATTAATGTCTAATAATTACACTACACGGAAATATATAAATCGTCTTAAAATTATCAGTAATATCTTTAATATAAATCTTATAAATACCAGCAGTATATTGCATGTACTAAAAAATAATGAAAATAAAAAATGTTACTATACTACAATATAAACGTTATAAAAGTTATGCAAAAAAACTTGAACTTCCATTTCATTCGCGTGAAAGCAAAAGTGCAAAAATTAAAAAGCGTTTTATAAAAATGCTAAACGAAACAACGTCCTCATTTTGCGCTATTTAATGGAAAGACTACACTCGTAAGGTTACAGGAAGGCTAAATAAGGACTCCTTTAACAGTTTCTAAGTTAAAGTAACTTACAGATTGAAAAAAAAGAAAAAATATAAAAATCTTAAACCAATTGTTACCTAATAAGCAAAAAGTTCGTCTAGCATTAAGTGAATGCTATAGACTAAAATCGAGGTGTGTTTTAAGAGGGGGCTGAAAATTGGTAATCACCAAGTTTTTACATCTCAAAGTGCACCTCGTCAGTAAAATCTCGCATATAAAAGCAACACTATGTCTTTGCTTAAAGAACAATACTTTCAATCTTATCCAATATAAACTTGACCAACTTACTTTTTTACTTTGTACTTTTACTTAATAAAGAAAACACACAACTACTCAAAAAAACAGTTGCTTTACAAAAATGTGTAGTAGTTTATCAAATAATATTTTATAAAACTTACTTTGCGTATTTCCTACCTTGCTCCATAGCATATTCTAAAAGCATGGCTAGAGATGAATAGATTTTTTTAAAAAAAAAGAAAAAAATAACTAAAATTAATTAAAAACAAAAAAATACAAAATTAGTGAGTTTTGCAAAGTAAACGCTAACCAACTAACTGTTCAACAGTCCACTCCTCATCATCTACAATAAACTTAACCGATCCTTCCTCTGTTTTTTCTATACGATGATGAGGAAACTATTGAGATAAATTAAAAGAGAAATAGCAAGACATATAGCCGAGCACATACCATTGAACGGTATAAATCAACAGTGGGAGAATTAAATTTTTGACCAACCAAAAAAAGTAAGTGAGAAAACAGACGCTGAGGATATTTAGCCCCATATAGTAAAGCATTTAAGCCGAAAAGTCTTTCTTTAGGTAAAAGTGCGACAACTGCAGGAGTTTTCCGCTTCGATTCAGAATTTAAAACAACCTCCCCATGAATACCTACATATATGAAAAATATGTCATGATTTAATAAAATAAGGGTTATTAATACCTGGTTTAAGTAACGCAACTTTTATATTTTCAGTGCCAAAATCGATAGAAAGTACAGATAAAGAAACAACAAGTTTAAAAGTTACAAGTAAAAACAAGCTGGATATTGTCAGTAACCTGAAATGCATCTAAAAAAATGAAGAAAATTAACAAAACTGCTCCTAATATGGTGAGCACTACTAAGCCCTGATGGTTTTAGATATATATATATATATATAGATATTTTGTAAATAGAGCATACATACTTCCTTATTAAAATTAAAACTTAATAATAGCCAGAAAAACTGGCTAATACAACATAGTATGAAAAAAAAATAACAAAGATAAACAAACTCAATTAATACAACGATAACGCAGCACTCCAAAAAAAATACAGTCAAAACTGGGAAGCGAAGACAATGGAGGCCAAATATTAGTCGGCTTATACATCGAAATGTTTTTTTTTAAAAGACGAGCACATGACCCACTAAACCAATGCTAGAGCACTAACACGCCTTACATATGGAAACAATGAATATTTTCGTTTTTATAAATTAAAAAAAAAATTACAAACTATTTTTAGGTTATAATAATTAAAGAAGTTAATAATTATTAGTAATGAGGTATTTGGTCCCTAATATATATATTAAAAAAGGCTGCTCCTCGCTCAAAAAAATGGGAACTATCTTGTGTGTATGAATAGGGTCTATAATGAGGCAGTTAAAACGGGTAATTTAATTTATTCCCTTCATGCTGGTGGCCTCTCGTTTTGCAGCATGCTGGACTTGTTGATAAGCTACAAAAATTATTGTTTAACTCACATTACGATCTATTTAATATATACATAACTTCTTATTATATGGTATTACCTGCGAGTCCAAAGACTAGAAGATCAAGATACTACAAAATTTTAGTCGTACAATCCAGTGTAATGATTGGTTTTCTTTTATGGTTCATTTTGAAGTCCAGCTTTGTCCACGCTCTCTTTTCTACTCCTCTAGGACGACCTTTATTATTACTTAGGTTCGTTTTATTATCTGCTAATGTATACAGAAACCGAGTATCTATAAAATTTATTGTGGCGAGGTGAATCTAGTCAGCACGCAAGGAGCACCACTTCCTTACCATGTAGGGTCCAATTTTTTATAACAGCTAACTTACAAATTATGATCACTTCGGGCATAATAATCTAAAATGCTACCCGATTAACAACCGCCTATTTTATTACTGAACTTCTTTTTTTTCTACTTTTTTGTACTCAATATATATATATACTAATGCAGTTATGCCTAGTGCACATTTTTTTGTTTCTTAATCTAGAGCGAGTTTGGGGAGCCCAGCGTATAAGACTGTAAGGGATTAAAGCCAAAAAGGAGTTAATATATAAATATTTTCTCTTATTAATTATTTTAATCTATATGATACCCACAAAACTTATAAGACTTTAAGTCATTAACTAAGTGTATTTTAGTTAAAAGAAGTTCAGTAATAGCATAATGCATAGCCAATAAAATGTATTAAAAAGTTGCGCAAGCATGGTATGTAGAGCCAAATACAACTAACACTGTGAACCTAATATGTGCGCACGCAAAAAGTGCATATAAAACCTTTAAACCGTTACTCCCCTCAAAAAGAATGAAGGTAAACATGAAGCGCACGTGTAAGGACAAAAGCGAAAAAAACGTAGAAAAAAATGAAAGCGATTCTTTCTATTGCAAAAAAATTATTCTCATATACAAACATGATAAAACTATGTACGTTATAAACAGCCTAAATATGGCAATTTACATAAATAATTATAGCTTGGGATATCTTTTTATAGCCTTTTTAACCTTAGAATCTATTTTTTAACATTGTCCATTTCTGTGTTTTTTGTTTCAGGCTTACTTAAAAATGTATGGAACGCTAATTCTACTTTATATCC